CCTTCGTGTTAGTAACCTTTATAATGAGTTGACATGGTGTGTGTGTGAGCTTAGTTTCCAACCATCTACATATTCTATAATTTTGTCATGCTGAATATATTTGAAGCAATTGTAAAATGTCTCTCTCCTCATTTGCTTTTCCTTTGGTTTCTACCATTTTTGTGTTGTATGCTATGAAAATGTTTGTGATTATTGGGCTGAATCAAGAGTCTTCCAAACATGTCTCCCAGGTGATGCCTACTGTTATATTCACTACTAAGGGCATCTGATCTGGCACTTAGCCACTTACCCAATTATTTAGTCAGAGCAGGAAATGACTCTGTAGCCAGCTGAAAACCCAAGCCTACGTTTTAACTTTTCAGTTTGAAGTCACGTCTTAAAGGGGACCTATCATGCAAAATGCACTTTTTGATGTCTTTTATATATATATATATATATGTGTCCCCGGTGTGTCAGGGAACTCACAAAGTGTCAGAAAATAAAACCCTCTCTCTTTTCCTCCGTTCCCAAATCTCTAAAAACGGGGGTACAACGGAGCTGATCCAGATTTGCGTCCGATATGACGTAGTATCGGAAATGTGGACCCATGGCACTATCAGAAACAATGCTATCACTTTTCCCACAAAGGTTAATCAGAACTTAGTTCATGAGAACTCTTTAGTTCTCATGAACTAAGTACAGATCGCGTTCACACCGGAATAAGTCCCTGGGGGGGGATTAGGCAAATGAAGCCGCTGACGTCACTTCTTCTTCTTCTGCTTTGGGTTTACTGGCAGGCCGCAAACAACTTCACGGCGTATACTGCCACCCGAAGTCCCCGGCCGGAAGTCCCCGGAGTTGGGGACTGGCTTCAGTAGAAGCTGCTGGGACTTAAATCGCCAGAACGCCGACACCTCCTCATCTCCACCGCTCCCATGTTTTCTTTTGTGTTGCCATAAGTTAGTCTCTCTGCGTTTGTGCGCTGGGCTAATGCTAATAATGCTAATGCGAGGATAATAAAATGGCGGCTTCACAAAACTTTTTGGGAGTTTTACGGGGCGTGGTTTGCAATCCGCCCAGCCAATCAGAAATATGGAACCTTTTTCTCCCACGAAAGTCCCTGCTCTCTAGCAGGGACGGAAAAGGTAGTAAAAAGGTTCTCATGAACTAATTTTTGTTCCGGATTTTTTTGGTGTGAACGCAACATTTCGGAACTATATCGGAACTAAAGTGGGAAAAGTACTGCGGTGTGAACGCGCCTAATAGTCTTTGTTTACATTAGCAAGCATCGCTAACACTCGCTAACGCTGTACTGGAGAGAGTATGTGGAAATAAAGAAAGGAACTCACCTTGTGGTAAACCGGCAAGAGAAAAAGCATTTGAGCTCCATACTGTTTCAGAAATAATCCTTGATGTGGTTTGGAACGTGATATGGCGTTTAATCACGGCAGCATTTAGCTGTATCTCGTAGATTTCTGAGCAGGCATTAGCTCCCCCTCCTCTTTTTTTTTTTTTCAAGCTAAGGACCCCGAACCTGCAGTTATCTAGCAGGCCTGAAATAGAGGGATATGAGGGATGTCTAAAATGCATGATCTGTTTGATATTTTGAGCAAAACACATCATAGACATGTTTTTTTATATATTTTTTATATATCTGAGACCCATAATATATGCCTAAAAATAGCATGATAGGAGATCTTTAAGAGCTCCTCACACCCCTCTTCCACTGAGTTGAGTTCTGTTCTAGGTCCGTGGGCTAGTTTTATTTGGAGTTGGTTGAACTTGTGAAGCCAGTTTGAATTGCAAGAGTGACTTCTCCAACGTTGTACTCCAAAGAGTACGAGTAACGTGGCTTTTAGTATGCGACTATAGTTCAGTGGATTTATCTGACCGCTAGAGTGGTATGCTGCTCATGTTCCACCGGTGTTCAACCTACCTTTTCCTAATCCTAGCCGCTTCTTGGAATAAGTAATTTACGGTTAGACTGTCTCAGCAGTAACACCCCTTGATGCATATTTCACCAAAAATGTAGGGGTTTTTTCAGTTTTAATTGTCAATGGTAGGCAACATAGCACCCTAAATTTGAAGGATTGTATCATGTGAAGCGGGAGTGAATTCCGCTGTTAACGCAACAATGATAGCAAAAGGGTAGTCATAGTGAAAAATAATGATATGTCCCATGTATGCTTGGTTAATGTTCCATGACATTTTTAAATGTATGGTTGTGTTCTAGCCATTTTCCGATCTTACGCTACTGCTTCTCCAACTTTCTTGCTGTGAACTGTTGTGGCTCCGTAAATCCCGTCCTAGCCTCCAATTTACGTTGTTCGCTGTTCTCGTGCCAACTGAGCAAATAGTTGAATGGAACCAGTTTTTGGAGCTTAGAGCCAGGGCCACTGCAGTTGAAACCGGAAAACTTTATTCGCAAACAGGCACTGGTCCTGCTTTAGAAGGGGTATCAGTATTTTTACACTGTAGTTGTGCTACTTAATGTCTTTCTAATTTTTCCACCACTGATTATTAGGCAGCTGTCACAGATATTGTGCACTTCAATTGCACCCATGGACGGATGGAATGAATGAAAAGAATACTGATCAAATATAGTTTTGGCAAGAAACCACAGAAAGCGCCTCCTTTGTGACAGAACCTACAAAATGTTAGGTAGTGATACACAATTGTCATTCGTCTCAAATGTCCTGGCATACGCTGTACAGTCAAAATGACAATGACTATAATACCTTCAGTTGTCTAGAGATATGCATATTACTGAACATGACGCTGTGCACGTCAGCTCTAGAGTTGCAGTGGACGTATTATGAGCTGTGTGTTTTGGTCTGTGTAACCATACCCTGTCTGCATAGCCTTCAGGCCACGGTGAGCTCACTTCTTCCACTGACAGCCAGGAAGGTGTGTGTGTGTGTGTGTGTGTGTGTGTGTGTGTGTGTGTGTGTGTGTGTGTGTGTGTGTGTGTGTGTGTGTGTGTGTGTGTGTGTGTGTTAGTGTGTAGTGTCCTGTGCATATTCAATTGCATGTCTATCAACCAGTAACAATGTTCGGGCTGCAAGAAACTTTCAAGCCTGTCAAATTTTATCGAAAAATTAATATCAAGAATTTATCACATATAATGTTTCTTTCTGAATGAATGTAGCTAACTATATAAATAATATAGAGATTATAAGACACTGGAAAGACAACAAAAAAGTTAAGTTAAAGAGGTAATTAATGAGTTAAAACAAAATGTATTTCTAAATATATAAAATATTACGAAAATAAATTATGAAATATACATAAGGCACCCTGACCCTGAAGTCTTCACTCTAAGGTCTGAAGATCAACACATCTCACCATTTGAGACACACAGATCATAAGTCATCATATGTGGATGAGCAATGGCACAACATGACATGCTCTCTTTTTGGACACAACATGATTTAATGCTCGACATCATGAGAATGGATTATGTGGCATTATCAGATGATATGCTACTGTTGAATATACATTAGTTGTAAAGTAGATCAAAAGGTTAAAGGTTAGGGTAAGAAGGCTTTTATTCTGGGTGTACGGCCTTTAGCAAAATGGTATCATGAGAATATAAGGGTATAGCAAATCAGAAAGCTATTAAAACAAATCTATTGTAAAATGTTGTCTGTCATTTGTTTGTAGAAAGATATTGAAAAATAGTGCAATGTATTTGTTGCCATATGAAAGAGTGAAATAGTCTCTGTGGCGTCACCCATTGGTTATTGGCCTATGGTTATAATAATAGTAATAATAATAATAATAATAATAATAATAATAATAATAATAATAATAATAATAATAATAATAATAATACATGGGATTTTTATAGCGCTTTTCCAAATGCTCAAAGACGCTTTATACTGGTTTTGAAGCCTTGATGTTGCTTTGGCCATTGCCATCTTGACATGAAGTCATGTGACCATCGTGTACTTCCAATATATAATAAATATACAGTATGTGGTTATCACTAGGACTAATACTAATACACCACTGTACTGTATATATTGTATTACAATATATGGCAATTTAAAAGTTTATATCATTTTTTTGTATCTATTTTATTTTATCTTAAATTGGACATGTAACATCTTATGTGTAATATAAATATATTTATTTAATTGTATCGTGTTATTGCACATTCTTATTTGACTTCCTATGTCTATATACACATTTGAACTATATTTTGTATAACATTTCATTCACCTGATTTTCCCTAGGATAAATAGAGTAATCTAAACTTCATTCTGATTACATTTAAATGATTGACATAAGTATGTACCATATAAAGGCACCTTTCATAAACAGAGAATGAGAGTGTTTTGGTCATTGGAATAGCACTTATAGATGTAATGAAATCTCAAGTGTTGATTCAAGGTGAAGTCATACAGAGCCTAAGAACCATTCTGAAGTGTACCACATGAGGGCAGTATTACAATGCTTTACGAGGATAACAGCTGCAGCAATGCATACACACCATGGATGTATAATAAGAACATGACACCTGACCTTTGATGCAATATGTTAAGAACATAGTATTTCTACTTTTGCAAAGAATTTGAGCAATTATTTTGCTATATAACATTGCCTCATAGCAGCCATGTCTGCAGTGTGCTTTTGTTTGACACACACAGAGTCTTACTGTTTGCATGTGAAGGGACATCCCAATGGGACAATGGAATGCTTTATTTTGACCCCTTTCATCTTTTTCATGTACAACGTCCATATTCTGTCAGCTTGTATGTCAGACAGGCTTGTACAAGGCAGGGCTATGTACTACTCTGTGCCCATTTCTCATCGAAAAGCGTGATAACAGAACTTAACTTACTTTAATCCACAAAATTAATTCTTGAAATTCAGAATCAGAAAACGTTCTTTATCCCACGGGAAATTGGGTAAAACTATGATAAAGGGTGAGAAATAATTCACCTTAGATAAAACCACTTATACTGCACTATCTACACACAGTCACTAATGTTCAGCAGTTACATTTTGCTTTGTTAAAATGCGCATGCGCAGCTTGTAGGTTGCCTGCCTGGCAGTGCCATAGCAACCAGGGCAGACATCAACATGGTAAGTGTTTGTGTTTTCCGTTCATTCTTCGTCGCTTTTTCGGATAATATTGCACAATTGTGTACAATTGGGTAGGTTGCCAAGTATGACAACCTACCCGAACATGCAATTATTCATGTCTCAAAGCTCAACCTTACATGCAGCGTTGTTGTCGCTGTTAGCTAATATGGGCTTTAATTAGCTAGGCCTTCTTAGCTAACCTTATTGTCAGTTAACCTGACGTTAAAGAACTAGCTAACATCAACTCTGCGCTAAACGTGAGTGTATGTATGTGTCTAATATGCCATTATTCCTAGTTCTAAATGTAATATTCGGAGGACTAACGTTAGGACGTAAGTGTCTACTCATTCAGCATGCCTTTAAAAACCACAAATGAAAATAAGAATAAAAACAGAGTGTAATAAAAGCCTAACTTAGTTTGATGTAGAGCTGTTCTAATTCTTATACTTTATACTATTATTTGTTCTTGTCATATATCTGTGTATTATATCCCATCTTTTTTAAACCAATGTTCACACTGATAAAATGATTTTCTTTCTGACCATTTAGTCGTAAGGTTTGGATTAGTTTTTAGGCAATTTGGTTATTGTTCGGTGTTTTTAGCTTGTGATGTTTCTGTGTAATACATAAACCCTCTCCAATTCAAGAGGTGTTAGTAACATATTTTGTAAGTATTCTAAGTTTAGCATTCTAAAGCTTTGGATAGCTTATGAGTGTGTCCCAATTCACATATCTCCATTCTGTGTCATGATGGTACTTGTATTGTTACCTTTTTGTGAATAAATGAACAGATATGAATGTAGCCTCTGCCTGTCTAACTGGATGTCATGTTATTTCAGCAGGCCAAAGCAACGACAGTGAGAGAAGCACTGGCTAAGTGGGTGAGTTACATAAACACGGCTGAAACGCACAGAAAGAATACCGTGAATGAAATACTGTGTAACAGAATCACTGAACTGTGCTCTGACAATTACGTCGAATCTGGGACTGAAGGAGCATTGTGTAGTTACAGGATTGTAGCAAAGTATTTGTAATTGTCTCTTTTGATCTGTGTGTGTGTGTGTGTGTGTGTGTGTGTGTGTGTGTGTGTGTGTGTGTGTGTGTGTGTGTGTGTGTGTGTGGTGTGTGTGTGTGTGTGTGTGTGTGTGTGTGTGTGTGTGTGTGTGTGTGTGTGTGTGTGTGTGTGTGTGTGTGTGTGTGTGTGTGTGTGTGTGTGTGTGTGTGTGTGTGTGTGTGTGTGTGTGTGTGTGTGTGTGCACGTGCACGTGCATGTGCGTGCAGGAGGAGAAGTCAGGGGAGAAAGCGGGTGAGACTAAAGCCGTCAAACTGTATGGTCAGGTTCCTCCTATAGAGAAGATGGACCCCTCCCTCTCTACGCTCACCAACTGCGAGTGAGTAACCATGCAATTTCAACACATTTTACAGGTTGAAATATTAAGCAGTGTTGGAATGTAATAAATCATATTTACTCAAGTACTGCATTGAGTACAAGCATACTTGTTCTTTACCAGAGTATTGTCATGTTATGCTACTTTATGCTTCTATATTGATAAACATATATGCATCAATAATCATAATCCAATCATTTTCTACATTTCTGAAATGAATGAAGTTCACATAACAAGTACTTTGTCTTTTGGTACTTGAGTTTATTTTGATGAAAGTACTTGAGTAATATTACTTAAGTAAGATTAGTATTTTTACAATTCAGTGTTGTTACTTTTACTGAAGTTAAGATAAGTTCTAAGTACTTCCTCAATCGCTTATGTTGAGTATTTTCTATAGTAAGGTAGAATTATGCCTTTAAGAAAGATCTGTTCCATTTCATTTCCGGCATGCGCAAGAAGACTGTCGGTCTGGATCGATTGCTAATACTGCCTTATATTTTTGTGTTCATTTATTACTGTATGCTTAAGGACCGTGCGTAGTTTTGATGATTCACATTTTTTTAAACAAACATATTTTTGACTGTTTTATAGCGTGACTGACTGCTGATTCCTCATTAAGACCTTAAAACCCACCTCTTTAAGTTAGCTTTTTCCTGTTAAATGCTACCCGCTCATTTCCCCTCCTTTTCGAGGCATTAACAGAATTGTCATTGGTAGATTAGTGAAGAGAAAGTAAAACAGCAGCTAATACAGTGAAAGTGTTTAGTCACCAATGATGTAATCCCCATTCAAATACCTGATATTTAATTGTACTGTATCATCCACAGGAAGCTCTCTCTGTCCACAAACTGCATTGAAAAAATAACCAATCTCAACGGCCTGAGTGAGTACTGACTGCACAATTACATATAACCACACACAAACTCAGAGGTGGAAATCTGGTGCACTAATGACATTTGTGTTGTATTTTCCAGAACACTTGAAGATATTGTCATTAGGAAGAAATAATATAAAGGCCCTTACTGGGCTGGTAAGTTACATATGAAAAAGAAAGTTGTATTATTTCCATGTTTTCCTCTCTTCTTGTTGTCTGCTTTTATACATTTATTTTATTACTTACTTACTTACTTAAATGTGCAATGTGTAGTTCCAGGCCACACTGAAGAAATAGGGGGCAGCATTTCACCTCTAATACTGGCTCCATACAATATATTTTATAGACGTCAGTTATTAACGAAAAGTCCTAATACTAACTAACACCAGGGCTAAAATATGCTTAATTCCACCAAAGTGCTGAAAGTCTGCGAGCCGGTCATAACTATCTGTTGCTAACATTTCAAACTCAAATGCTGCCATATCTTTCACATTGCACCTTTAAACGAGTTTCAGTACTTACACATGCTAAATACAACATCTAAATGTATGTCCTTTTGTATCAATTGTGTGTGTCTGTGTGTGTGTCTGTGTGTCTGTGTGTGTGTGTCTGTGTGTGTGTTTGTCTGTGTGTGTGTGTGTCTGTGTGTCTGTGTGTGTGTCTGTGTTGTGTGTGTTGTCTGTCTGTGTGTGTGTCTGTGTGTGTGTGTGTGTGTGTGTGTATGTGTGTGTGTGTCTGTGTGTGTCGGTGTGTGTCTGTGTGTGTGTGTCTGTGTGTGTGTGTGTCTGTGTGTATGTGTGTCTGTGTGTGTGTGTCTGTGTGTGTGTCTGTGTGTGTGTGTTTGTCTGTGTGTGTGTGTGTGTTTGTGTTTGTGTGTCTGTGTGTGTCGGTGTGTGTAGGTGTGTGTATGTGTGTGTGTGTGTGTGTGTGTGTGTGTGTGTGTGTGTGTGTGTGTGTGTGTGTGTGTGTGTGGTGTGTGTGTGTGTGTGGTGTGTGTGTGTGTGTGTGTGTGTGTGTGTGTGTGTGTGTGTGTGTGTGTGTGTGTGTGTGTGTGTGTGTGTGTGTGTGTGTGTGGTGTGTGTCTGTGTGTGTGTGTGTGTGTGTGTGTGTGTGGTGTGTGTGTGTGTGTGTGTGTTGTGTATGTGTCTGTGTCTGTGTCTGTGTCTGTGTCTGTGTCTGTGTCTGTGTTGTGTCTGTGTCTGTGTGTGTGTGTGTGTGTGTGTGTGTGTGTGTGTGTGTGTGTGTGTGTGTGTGTGTGTGTGTGTGTGTGTGTGTGTGTGTGTGTGTGTGTGCAGGAGTCCGTAGGGGAGACATTAGAAGAGCTGTGGATCTCCTATAACTTGATAGAGAAACTGAAGGGTGTCCAGTCCTTGAAGAACCTCAAAGTCCTCTACATGTCCAACAACCTGGTCAAAGAATGGGGTGAGCTACATTAATATTCATAATCTACACATGATGAAATGGTGGCTTTATGGAACATTTATGAAGTGACCTATATCAGGACACTTTTTTCCCTTCTTTTATTTTATTGAAGAGGGTCATAAATAGGTTTAGAAGTATTTTGTAATCAACTTAAGTTGCGTTTGCTGAAAGCACTGTGTCCCCTTTATATGTTGCGGGGAGGACTTCCTGTATAAGAACTCACTGTAAAGTATTAACCCATCACTGTACCCTGTATGCAAGGGCTGGTTTGCCTTCGATAACTGTACGGAGGCTCAGTCACTGGTACATTTTTATATACCATGTTAGGGAAACTTCCATCCTACATCTGCTCCCTGATCTCACGGCGAATTGTAAGTGGCTACTGCCTGAGATCGCATGCTGTGGTTTTATTAAATGTGCCAACTGCTAGGACTGTCTTAGGGAAGATAGCATTTAGATGCGCAGCTCCACTGTCCTGGAATAGTCTGCAATTGAAATGGAAACTGAGCAATCTGGTGCCACTAAATGTTTTTAAAGCTCGGTTGGATGCTACTGAATCGGAAGCTGTTGGTACCTGTTCATGTGGATAGTTATGTAAATTGTAATCCCTGTAATGATGCTCTATGATGTCCTTTTTGTTGTTCTGTTTATGTTTTTAATGTTTCATGTGGAACCTACTTGAGCAGGTCTCCCTTGAAAAAGAGATCAGTGATCTCAATGGGATACACCTGGATAAATAAAGGTTTGAAATGAAATGAAAAAGACTGTCTCACCTGCTGTTAAAGCCTAATCAAGGCCAGTAAAGGTTTCTAACTTTTAGCAATGGTCTAATATTTTTGACCCAATCATTTCAAGAGTCATTTATTGTCATTATACAACACAGGGTTGCACAACCAAATAAAGTGTGCTACACACAAAGTATAATACAGAACAGAGCTTTAAGAGTATTTGCATTCTTGAATGTATTGTTGGAATTTGCAACAAGAGAAATTGAAACAATCAAAAACAATGTCAATTTCTTGCTTAGACGAAATATGGCTAGCATCTTATACATTAGAACACTTCAACTTAAGAAAAACACTTTCCATCTACTTTGACGTTTGAGCACCAAGCCACGCAGTGTCCGCCTTCTCTCGTCTAGTTACAGCATGATCCAGAATACCATGATGAAGACACAAAGTACAGCAGAGTGTATTTTTCCTGTGACATCAGCCAGGAGCATTCTGGGTAGTGGAATAGCCTTACAGGTCCTAGCTTGGTTAGCTTAGCTCTTAGCTCTTTTCCTCTCCTGCTGGTTGCTTACTCCTCCTTCATGGTAGTTAGGTCGCAGGTGTAGCTCTCTGGCAGGATGGCTGGAAGATGCTTTGGGCGATGATCGTCTCAAAGTCTGCTGCACTGCGCTTCTTTCTGAAATATTGATACGTTTATCCTTGTCTTATGCCATACATGCTCTAGTTAAAAATAGAAGAAAAGAGATGAATAATACAAACATAAATGTAGCTTTCACTAACCACTGCATCTACATGGGCTTCCATATCCATAGTCATGGATCACTCTGGTATATCTGCTGGTATCATTAGTATATGATGTATTTTCTGTGTTGTAGGAGAGTTTGTGAGGCTAGCTGACCTGCCCTGCCTGGTAGACCTGGTGTTTGTGGGAAATCCTCTGGAGGACAAGCACTCATCTGAAGGGACCTGGATGGATGAAGCCTCCAAAAGACTTCCTAATCTGAAGAAACTAGATGGTAAGACTGCTTCTGCATCAACACAGTGGTGCAGGTTTGAGCCCTAACCCTGGAAATGAATTAGCATTCTAGCTAGCTAATTTAATTTCTCATTTTTTTCAGGGACCCCAGTCATCAAACCGGAAGTGGACGAAGGAGATGGAGAAAGCTGAGAAGCGTAACCATCTGCAAAACTAGAATCACCTTTCCAAAGAGTCTTCCCTTTTTAAAGTTTTGTATGGTTTGTCATGGTGCTTTCCTTTATACAAAATGACTTTTACAACAGTACACCAATAAAAGCACACACGTACATTTTAGAACTATGAAACAATTATTAAATGGTTAATACCTGCAGGCCTTGCGACCATAAAAAAGGTTTTAATGAGACCTTATTAAAAGATTCAAAAGTGTTGTTGTCATATGCACAATAGCTACAGCGCAGTTGTTGGCAATACAAACCCTAAGTCCTTCTGAAGGCTCCTCCAGCAATGCAACATTCAATATACTTTAGAAATAAGAATAAAAACACATTAAATAGTGCAAGTGACTAATACAAATGCAGAATTGGAGAGAGGCTTAATACACAGAAGCCTTCCATCGCACCATTTTAAACTGAAAATTGAAACAGAACTAATGTGGGCAAAAAATACTTTTTAAACTTACAATGTGTTTTTTTTTATTGTCCTTGATTTTGTATGCATCTCTATGTACCTCTAGCAAGAACTAAAGCACAATGTAGCACACACACACACACACACACACACACACACACACACACACACTAGTGAGTAAAGACATGTGTGTGACCCCTCCATAGTATTTCTATGGAGATGTTGCCAAATAAAGCTAAATATTAGCTCTATGCTACATTTACGTCAAATTGGACATTTCATACTGTTTTTGCTATCAGAATTCTCGAATACGCTGAAATTAGGTTCTATTACCAAACTAACTTCTCAGACGGTTATTAGCAGTAGCATTAAATTAGGAGGTTACATTTGTATTTATTATTCTCATGGGATTTGAAGGCACCATACTGTATACATCTACACCTCCCTAGCTCTTCAGAGTGAAAACTTGGATGACCTAAATAGATCAGTTTGGCCCTGTGTTTGAGGTCATGTAGTGTCTGTCAAGAGTTTTTGAAACTACTCTATTTTCAGGCTTAATTTTGGATCAATACATTCTACATTGTTCCTGTTCCTTGTGATACCAAGGTTAATGCATGTAGCATGTCTTCATTATTTACATTACACATTATCTGTGTAAAATTATTTTCATGTTTTAAATTATTCAGGTAGGTTTGTACATACAATTGTAAGATGTTTTTTTTTATGATTTAGATTTTTGAAATAAATACTGTTGAAGTAAATCAGTTGTGCCTTGATAATATATGATAATATAGTATAGATTCAGTTCTAAAGCAAGACACTTTATTTATTGTTGTCATATTTATTTCCAGATGTGAAGTGCTTTTTTAGATGCGACTTCTAGTACAGGCAGAGGGAAAACCTATTTTAGACTGTCAAATTATAAATGTTGTTTTGTTTTTTTCATTAATATACATAAATTGCGTTGATTTGTACACAGTTATTGCACAGAATGGTTTTCAATATTTGCTTGTTTGATTTTTGTTTCATATTAAGTGTAGAGTTGATCATGGTCCTAGGTGTCGGTAACGCAGTTTAACGGCACCATAACACCGACATATAAGAAGGAGAAGAAGAGTCACTTCCCTGGCAACAGCCTCGTACCCGGAAGTTGTTGTCTTCGCCGCGAAATATCAACAGCTCAACTTCCAAGCGTTAGATTTTAAATAAAAAATGTGTGAAAAAGGTTGTCGGTACTGGTCTTAATGTAATAGCTGAGTGGATATACAGTTTGTTCATACTCGTATAGTGACTCAGCTGTGTGTAATGCAGCGCAGTGCAGCGGCAGTAAGTGTGGAGGTGAAGCAGGTGATAGCGGCTCTGTGCAGACTGCTCGCGGCCACCGGGCTGGAATGTGTCCCCGCGCCGGAGCACTTCAGGCGGGCTAAGTTCGGAGGAGGACCCGCGGTGGTAGGTTCATCATGTGCTGTCACTGTCAGGGGTGGAATGTAACTGCATTTCCTCCAAAACTCAAGTACTAGTGTGAGGTAGCTGTTACCTATATTGCAGCCTACTTATTACTCTAGTAAAGTTATTTTACAGCTTTATATTTTCTTTTGACAAACGTGCATACAGTGAAAATGCATTTAAGAAGCAGTGCAATGCGAAAATACGCACAGAAAGAAGTGTGGGGATCTTGTGCCTTGCTCAAGGGTACATCAATAGTGCCCAAGAGGTGAACATCTTAAAGTACCATTAACAGTACTTGGTCAGTAACGTGTGGGATTTAAAGGTCCCATGTCATGCTTTTCCGGTTATTACCCGTCCCCTTGTGTGTTATGTAGCTTTTTATGCATGTAAACGGTCTGCAGAGTCACAAACCCTCAAAGTACACCCTGTAGCGAGTAAAACTCTTAACACAGAAAATACCTGTCTATGCTGCCCCAGAACGCCTCGTTGGAGATTTTTCTTTTTCCATTTTTTTCTTCCTGGTCGTAGTGACGTAAGGATTACTCAGCCTTATCTTTTCTCAGCCTGAGACAGCGAGACACCGCTTTTAATATTTTCAACCCAGGAATAAGTTCTTATTATACATCCATGAGTAATACAGCTCACACTGTCCACTCCTCGAGCCTCAAAGGGCGGAGCAGCGAGCCCCGCAACATCCCGCCAACACGGCACCCAGACCCCACGCAGCATTCTCATCTGTTTGTCATTACTGGTGTCATTTTCTTGTTGCCAACAAACGCCATTGTAACACATAATCACTGATGTTCCGCTGTAACGGTGGTGGACTCATCAGAACAGAGTGGGCGAGCTGACCAATCAGAGCACAGTGGGCTCATAGGGGGGGGGGGGGGGGGACCTTTAAACCATCAACTCTCAGGTTCCTAAGCAAAGTTCCTAGACTGAGCGGCTGACGCATGATGTTACAAATGATTTCATATAGAAGAAAACAAGATACAATTGTTTTGACTTCAAATATAAAAGACATCATTGGGTACTATTTGTTATCTGTCTGCTACCCGCTATTAAAAAGTTGTGACAGATAACCCACAAGTACCCATCATTGTATAAGATATCAGTATGTCAAACTAGACAACTTATAGTATGTTGGACCAATGCGTTCCTAATAAACTGCATTGTACATATTGAAATAGTATTTGGACATTTTTCTGCTTGCTGTTGTTTCTCAGGAGGATCAGTTTTGGCAGCTCCTCGCCAATATCCAACAGAAATGTGGCTTTGTTTCCTGTGAGGCCCGTTCACAGCTAGGAGGAGGTAATTCTCATGGTCCATTTATTGATGTAAACATGGCAATTGTTGCTATTTGTCAAGGACTTCACTGATTTCCATTTAGATGCTTTTTTTCTATGTTGCACTAAAAAGAACATCGTAGAGTGGTGCGGTCATGACCTATTTCTGTAACCCAGAAATTAGCACTGCATAGGCTCCCTCCACTAAATCCAATGAGATTTTGAAATATTTCAGAGAATTAGCTTAGTGACACGTTTATACGATTTTCTTTTTTCAGCAGGTTATCCCTGCATATTGAAAAAATCAAATCAAAATTGCATGACTTCATGTCACAACTTCTAAAGGCGTCTAATACTAGGGGTATGAAATCGTAATAAGAAACTGAAACTATAAGTAAAATGTGATTTGTTGTGTTAGAAATAGTTATATGAACTTGCTGAGCGACTGAATGTGTTTTCTCTGTCTGTCTACAGCCACAGAGCTCAGGAGGCTGGTGGCTGCAGGGCTCTGGCAGACTGGCTACCATGCTGACTGGATGTATGAGCGGGGGGGAAGAGAAGGAGGGGAGGGAGGGAGATACTCCAGCAAAGACCTCCTGCTGGCGCTGGGCTGGCTGCTCGCTACAGGAACTCTGGAGAAACTGCTGACTCAGAGAGTGGAGCAACTGGACAAAACACTCATACTCACTCCTTCACCTGTAAGAACCACAGTATTATGGTGGTGAATATGTCTGCAAAAGGACAAAACACTCATACTCACTCCTTCACCTGTAAGCACCACATCATTATGGTGGTGAATATGTCTGCAAAAGGACAAAACAAAGAAGTCATTTTTGTTGCCACGCAATTAAACGCATTCTTCTGTTTTAGATCAGAATAGATAGATTCACCTCTATTGTCATTGCACTGAGTAAAGGAACTAAGACAACGAAATGCAGTTAGCATCTTAGCAGGATTGCAAAACAAGTATTAAAGTAGTGTTATTCATAGTATTAAATAAATATAAACATCTGACAGTATTAACACTTCGAACAGCATAAGGAGGTATACCCATTTCAAACAGCAGTATACAAATTGAATACATTAGTTCTGGTATAAGAATAGACAGTATAAAACACTATAGACAGAATAAATATTAATAAGCTATAGACCGTTATTGATATTTTATATACAATTAAAAAAATATGAGAATGCTAAGGAAAAATCTGTTTGGCCAGTTCTGTTCCCTTCTGCTGGGATGAAAGAAGCATTTCAGACCTGACAATATAGTATCATATCATACATTTTGAATACATGTATTTGTGTAATCTTACATTTCTAATCTCTCTCTCTCTGTTAGGTAAACCATCGGCTTCCAACTGAGCTCCCGTTGGACTCAGCGTCTCTCCGGAGGCTTCAGTGGCTCGTTGGTTCTCTGAGACACCAGGGCCGCACCCTGCTGTCCATGCAAGAAGAGAGGACCTGCCTTCTCCATGCTGTGAGAAAACCCCCTCTTTCAAACTTTTTACGTGCTTTCTTATATCATTTGACAGTACTGCAACGAAAAACTCTTCTCAAAGTTCAACAAATAGGACGTTTTGAAGCAAATGTGTAGGAAGACTGTTAAAGTTTCCATTGAAAACTTAAAAGAAGTTCTTAGAAAAGTGTCAAAATTGTAGAAAATGCACAATGATGCATGAAATCAGAATTGTTAACTAATTGAAGTGTAAAATATTGATATTAAGTTTTATTTTCAGGTTTCTGTTGCCAGCCTTCCCTCCTCTGTATCCCCCTCCTCCTCAGATCAGAGCTCAACATTGCTAAGGAAGGTAAGTCTGTGCTGTTATTCAAATCATTCTCCATAATATGCTTTTTATGTCTTTTGTTGGGGTTAAATAAAAAAATAAAAATCAATCAATCGTTATCATCTTAATTTCGTACTTTCTGTCCGCTAAAATCATTTGGGCTTTGTAAATGTGAAGAAAACAAATGTGAAAGTCAGTAATCAGTCAAATATGTGTCTGTTAAAATGAGCAGCTGTGTCCAAAGGTAGTAACAACCAATAACACCCAATTCCCACTGCTGTCAGAAAACTCAACTATCCCTAAAAAGAAAAGTGTGTTTGTTTGTGTTGTAGGACTGTGTGTGTCTGCAGCAGCTCTGTGACCTCCTGGAAGCATATCTGAACTGGAGACAGGTAGAGAAAGTCTTCTGGACCTGGATGGTGAGTTAGACACAACAACACAGGTCAATGAGAGCACAAATCAACACAACATTAGGATTTATGCCTCTATAAATCTATATGCAAAATCCTTGATGTGGCACATCCTGTCTGAAGAAAATTATGTCAACTTGTTTATCTCTGAAAAAGTTAATCTGCAAATTCATATCAAATATATCGTGTACTGTATATATGGATTAATATATTCTACTATTCACAGCATACAGATTTGTACTCAAGATAAATTCTTAGTGTGTGTGTGTGTGTGTGTGTGTGTGTGTGTGTGTGTGTGTGTGTGTGTGTGTGTGTGTGTGTGTGTGTGTGTGTGTGTGTGTGTGTGTGTGTGTGTGTGTGTGTGTGTGTGTGTGTGTGTGTGTGTGTGTGTGTGTGTGTGTGTGTGTGCAGGACAGTGTGGTGGATGGCCATCTGACAGATCCTGTTCACAAGAAGCCTACAGTAGCACCTAATGGGAGAGCAGGAGGGTGTCACCACGGAAACTGTGGGCTAGAGAAATTGGATGACATGCTATTGAGACTGCCTACAAGACAGGTGTGCAACACACACACACACACACACACACACACACACACACACACACACACACACACACACACACGCACACGCACAACACACACGCGTTGGTTAGTCGTCCTACAGATGTCTTTGCTTCATGGTTTTGATGATCGATTGTGAGAGATGTTTGTTTAAGTTGAAAATCAAGTGTATGAAAAGGAGTGAGTTGTGGCACAACTCGTGTTTAATCAAAATAAAATAAGAATCTTACAAATCATATGCAACAAAGAAAAATACAAACAGTCAAACAAATCAAAACAAAAATAATTAGCAACTAAGATCCTCTTTCTGTATTTTACATTGTGTAGACCAGCGGTTCCCAACCTGTGGTTGGCATTGCAAAGTGGGCCGCCAAATAAAGATGTTTTGTTTTTATTTTTTTGTATTTTTGTTTTTTTATTTTGTACAGGCTAAAGACACAAACATGGACATAACAATAACATATAGGAGATGACATTCCCATCTCAGACAACAACAAAACAAAAACAGAAGAAATAAAGATAGAGTCAGTTGGACCACTTCAACATTTCACAAACAAAAATAGGTTGACAACCAAATACCACCAAAAAAACAACATGGCAAGCATATTTATTGTTCCTTTAATCCCACTCTTCGTTAGAGCTCATTATTTCCCATTTCATGGCGTGTTCAGCCACCCTTTGATTTTTGTAGCAATAATAATTGTATTTTGAATCTACTCCTCAAACACCTTAAATTAAGATTACTCCTTGATTGACTTTTAAAAATATGTATTTTAGCCAGAAGAATAGTTGTATTTATTAACTGTGTGCGGTCTTCATCTAAAAGCCCAAATAAAATATTAAAGGGTGTACAGTATATGTAAATTCAATATTTGCCGCCAAATAATTTGCAAAACATTATGATTTGTGTGGAAACATTTTTATTATTAAGACTTTTTTTTATTTTAACCTCTTTTCCTTTCTCTTTCTTGATCCTCCTTAGCAACGGTCATTACAGTCCTTGACAGCGGTCTGTTCTACAGGATTAACAACGTGTCACATGTTCTGAATGGACCAATCAGAACTTTATTTAGCCTCCGTATTGTTTATGGTTGAATGTGGGCCGCGACAGTTTTTTGGATTCTTAAGTGGGCCCTGAGTTGAAAAAGGTTGGGAACCGCTGGTATAGAGCAGTGCTTCTCAAACTGTTTTCAGTAATGTACCCCCTTTGTCACATTTTCTCAGCCAAGTACCCCCTGACCGACCCCGACATTTCTTTATAGAAAAAGCCTATATAAATAATTACAATATAGGGATGGTCCATCAGTGTGTGATTTATTAACTCCTTCATGCATGAATTACAACAAACTAAGGATATTTTCATCTTTATGCATGAAAAAAAAATTGGTAAAAAAAAAGGAGCGGGCTGAGCTCATGCGGGACCCGGCAGCTACTGTCTAAACTAAATACTGCGGTGATGAAACGCCATATCATGGATTATCAAGGATTATTTCTGAAACAGTATGGAGCTCAAAGGCTTTCTCTCTTGCCGGTTATACCACAAGGTGAGTTTATTTCCTGCTTCTTCACACACATGCTCTCCAGTACAGGTTAGCTCTGAGTGTTAGCGATGCTAATGTAAACATGCATATTACGTCCAAAACAGTCGTGCATTGTTTCTGATAGCAACGTTTCTGATAGGGCCGTGGGTGTAAAGCCAGCCTACATTTCCGATATTACGTCATATCGGACGCAAATCTGGATCAGCTCCGTTGTAGCCCCGTTTTTAGAGATTTGGTTACGGAGGAAAAAAGAGAGGGTTTTATTTTCTGACGCTGCGTGAGTTCCCTGACACACCGGGGACACATATTTATGCATAAAAGACATCAAAAAGTGCATTTTACATGATAGGTCCCCTTTAAAGCAAATTATAATTTCTGGAACATTATTCACATTATCATGGACAAATAAATTAGACTCATCATGGCGTGATTTTCTTCTTAAGAGGATACGTACCAAACCAGGGTATTTTATTAAGTGTGTAGAATACCATAGAATTCTGCAGGTCCACAATATTTCATTCAGATATTTTCATGTATTTTTCCTTTACCACATATTTATGTTTACTGTGATTTGGACATGCTTGGTCCATATTTCGATCAAGATAAAAGTGAAATGTATTGTGCAGCACTACTGTGACTCTTAAGGTATGTTTCTGTGTCATCTTATACCCAGAAAGGACAGGGGAGGGTCAGAGAGGCCCCTGAGGGCCGAGGAGAAGGAGGACTCCTGCAGGGTAGATCAGACTCCTGCCTCCCTCCTCTCTCCTGCCCCCCCCCGCCTGCCCTGCTGCCCCCTGGCCTACAGGCTCCAGACTGAGAGGCCGGTCAGACACAGCAGCCCCCCAGCAGACGGGGCCCGGGGCGGGACCCCCACTGCGGGGGGGCTCTCAGCGTCTCAGGCTGTAGAGCTGCTGCTGCAGACGGAGGCTCTGCTGCTGGAGAGGAGGGGCCGGCAGAGACTGGCCAATCGGACGCAGCTGCAGGAGATGATTGGCAGGCTCGATGAACTGGTGTTGATTCCTCCATAGGCTGTTTTTTTTTAAATCCTCAAACTGCTTATTTATGAATTCAGAAATAAACAACATGGATTCACATTTTTTAGTTTGCCAAATATTCAGATTCTTTCACAAAAAATACACTTTCAATAACTTAGATTGGTGCAGGAATGAGTCCTCAAACACGTCAACAATTAATTCAACGTGTTTTCGGTTAGATGCCAGGAATAAGATCTGTGGTTATTGGTTAACACAAGCTGAAGATATTTTTATGTTTTACGAAAAAATTAGGGCTGTCAAGTTAACGCGTTAATAACGCGTTAACGCACTTTTTTTTTAACGCCACTAATTATTTTAACGTGCGATAAACGCATGTGTATTTGTCCTCGGCCCGCCCCGTAGTTTCAGAGCCCAAAGGCTTGACGTTGTTGTTGTTAGTTGGATGGTGGGAGATTCTAGCGAGAGATATGGATACAAGAAAGGTGTTTTAAACAGCAAGCCAAGCACACAGCTGATGCTGACAGCCCCGCTCTTGCCGCTCGCTTGCGGCAGACCACGCTTGAAAGTTTGCCGGGGAGACGCCTGGACAACAATAGCGATAGCTAAATGGGTGGCTACAGCTTAACATTGTGGAGGGGCTGTGTTAGATAATTCGGATCGCATCCAACGTGTCGACTGCACATCACAGCGCATTATTTTGACCCACAGTGGGAACTTCAGTCTCATGCTTTGACTGAAGATGAAGACAGAGGAGCGGCATTTCGCCGACAACTGACACTAGGATGGGTCAAATGCAGAGAAACCATTTCGTTACTAAGGCCCAATCCCAAACCACTCCCTCGACCCTACCCCTCCGTGACGGAGTGAACTCCGTCTGTAGCCACACTCGCAGCTCAACGAGGCTCCTCCTGTCAGATGGAGGGAGTAAATACAGCGGCAAGCTTTGGGACAAACTCCCCTCTCTCCGGCAGAAACAGGAAATGCCGTAACTGTATGTAACAACGGTTTCAAATCAGCATCTCTTAGACAAAAAATGTAAATTAATAACTCAAATAAAACTCCAAACATCTTTCATTGTGTTACTTTTTTGTAAAGCTCTTTTAGTTTTAAACCTGATGTTTATAAGCTTCTTAGTTTTTGCAACAGTCTGTAAATATACACAACTTTATAATAAAATGCACACATTTACCTTTTTCTAGACTAAACACAGGTATGATCCTAAGTTAAAACATATGAGGTTATCATGAGGTTGTTAACATCGCAGTTTATCAGTGGATGTTTGATGGAACTGTTTGTAAACAGCGTGTTTCCTGACGGACACACACAGCGTGACTCCGGTCAGGTAGAGACCGGTCTCCAGTCAGCACCGCTGCAGACTCGCTGTTTGAGGGCTTGATAGCCCACTCCCCCTCCACACCGCTCCACACTCGTTGGTTTGGAACAGCACTTAATGTGGCGGACCCTCCGCGCGAACGCGCAAACGGAGGGGTAGTGTGTAGGGGTAGGGTGTAGGGCGTGGTTTGGGATTGGGCCATAGTAAGTAGGCCTACTGTGTTATTACAATAAAAGTATAAAAAAAACAAAAAGAACAGGCTTGTCTGTTTGAGCAACTGGCTCAGAGCAGAGAAGTACACAGGGTTGGGAGAGAGTGTAAGAGAGAGAAAGAGGTTCCAGGTTGTTGTGTTGAGAATATTCAGGAGAATATTTGTCATTGTTCCAATGATAATAAACAAACATTTGCATAAAGCATATTTGTCCACTCCTATGTTGATAAGAGTATTACAAATATTCCTCTAAGGTACATTTAAAACAGATACAAAATGTGCGATTCATTTGCGATTAATCGCGATTAACTATGGACATCATGCGATTAATCGCGATTAAATATTTGAATCGACTGACAGCCCTAGAAAAAATATATCAGTAAATATCCCACTGGTGAATGTCTGAAGCTAATAAGTGACTAAATGACACAACCTTCCCTCATCATAGTGAAAATGAGCAGTTTGTTTATAACATCAGCTTTTTACTTCTAGTGATTGCTTTAGGCTTCAAATATTATAAAGTGATGTTAAAATGTGAGATTATCCTACTGAACTAAACGTGTAAGTATCATGATCATTTGTTTGCCACAGATCTTCTTTCCTGTAATATTCCAAAAGTCTATTTTTAAGTCATTTTTAAAGCCCTCAAAATCTCAAAAATGTACCCGCATCTTTTTAGTTGAATCTTTATCCACCTGCCGAGGTCTACTGAAGCTAGATTGCGGATTTTCACAATTTTTCAAATCTTAATTCTAAGCTTGGCTAAATGCATCCTAATTCCAAATCAGTACTAAACACAAGAAATATAACGAGCGTATCTCACAATATGTTCCCCAAATCATTTTAAGTTTTGTTAATTTATTTGAAAGTAAATAATTGTTTTTAGATATACTAAATGTGTCTTTAAAATGTGTTTATTCACATTTACAGCCGTAAGTAAATCAAACACTTACATCTTTATAATATTGAATTCATCTGTCATCACAGCATTACTACTGTAGAAAATCCAACACAAGCGTCTTTATTTATACGTCAAATAAATACAACCAAATTATTTTAATAGTGAATTTTATTAGTTAGTGAAAGTGCTACAAAAAATAGGAATATCATTTTGAAATGAAGCCATGAGCAGTTATAATACAGCAGTTGTTGATGACTTGATATGAGCTTTGCAGTAACCCAGGGATCCCTTTAAAAAGCGTTTTGCCACTGCAGCATGCCAAAGTGGTTTGATGGACTGAATAAAGGCTGTGAGGACTGAACTATCACGATGAATTCACTACCAGTAGTTTCTGCATGTAGGAGTTGAGCCACTTCTGTCTCTCCATGGATGTGAGGAGTTTACTCTTCTCCCTGAAGGCAGCGTCGTCCGCCACCACCATGTTCCTCTTCATGCTGGCACCGTGCGTCCACTCTGCAGGCCACGCCCCCCGCACGCTGGAGACACACACCGAGACCCCAGGATCAGTCCAGGTACCAGAGTATAGGAAAAGATATGACTTAACTTTAAAATGTCTCCACATAATGTCATTTGTTTGTCTCAATCGGAACCATTACAACAAAGAGTTTTGATGGCCTCTTAAAGAAGCGTGGGATCATGGGAGTTGTTCTCTTCAACACAATTTCCATCATTCCAATGAGCTTCCTGTGAGGATCTTTTTTATATATATATTGGTTTAGAGTTGGCAATTAAATTGTACAGTGAGTACCAGTTACTTTTATTAACTGAGGACAGACATAAATAATTTGTTGAGCTTGTAAAAAAACATGTTTACGAATCAAAACTCTTGATGAATACATACCCAGAATAAAAAGCTTAGAATCTAGCAGTAATTTCTGAATATTACAAATATCTAGGTGACACTTTAGCACTTGCGGCAGTGCTGCCCCTGGCCAAATTGGGGCCCTAAGTGACATTTTGTAATTTCACATTTTGTTCTCAGACATAGAAATCTGTCAGTAAATACCCCACTAGTGGATGTCTGAAGCCTCTACGGGGCATTAAAACAGTGGTTGCTAACAAGTGTTCAAATGAGACGACTTAACGTCATCACTCCAAACATTATCCGCCTTTAGCCTAGCGGTGGAGACATGAAGTCATGTGACTGATGTACTTTGTGTATAGTCTAACATTAGCTATTTATACCTGGCTATTGCATTTACTCTTTCACTATTTTAAAAGAGAGCCCTTCCTTTAAAAATACCTCATCACTGCAACACATTATGGCATTTCCCCTTACTAACTACTAGACAGTTACCTTTCCTCTGCCCTCTCAGGGCCAAACAGCCACGCCTCTCTCATCAGTCCTGCATTGCTATTGGCTGCTGCGCCGAGGCTGGGCGCTGACATCATTTCAATGCTCCAATCACGGAGAGAGATGGAGGGGATGAGGACATCCCATTCCTCTCGTTTAGGTTCCTCTGAATCACTTCTGGAATCAGATAATAATAACTATTAAACTTATTGAAATCTCAGATATGTATTTGTTTGTATTATGTAGGAATATCAAAACAAATACAACATATAAGGGTATTCATTTATTGTTAGTTAGTTCACTCACTGTTATATTACAGTCATATCTATAACCTTGATCAAATTGAGTGAGTAAGCACCTGAGATGAAGTCGATGCTGAGGAAAGCCAGATGTCACCAAGATCATACCCAGAATGCAAAGCAACAGGAAGGACATCCGGGGAAAAGCCAGCAGATCAGACATCCTAACAAAAAATAAAGAATTAACATAGTACAATTTACATGTTAACTGAGTTGCGTATTTATGATCTTCCAATTTATTTCCAATAAAATAAGGTAAAAACAATAAAAGCAGAAACTTATTTTTATCTTTATGAATGCTAGTATGTTTTCTACATTTGAATTTAACACACAATTCTCTCTCACTATTACGCTACCACATTGCTGTTTTTTCCTTCAAATTATTTAAATTCGGTGCTAAGGCTTGTTCTAATTTACACAAGATAATGTGTAATGCCCAAAATTCCATTTAATGTCATTATACCATATATTTGAAAAAAGGTTAGCTTAGGATATGTCATAGTTTCTTTGTAATTCCCTTTGAGTCCTCCCAAAGATCTTGAAAATAGAAAACAAAAATCTACTGAAATGTGCCTGACGATTTAGAAGCTGCTCTATTTATATATATATATTTGTCTATTTATGAATTATTAACAAAACCTAACTTTTAAAAATCGTCTTTTTGTTTTGTATGTGTGGAGACAAATTGTGTCAGTCACGGTCACAATCTTTCTTCTTGAAAAACAAATCACCCTGCAACACAGCTTAAAGTAATTAGTTTCATGCGAATAGGGTTGGTTAGGGTTAGGGTTAGAATGGGATGTTATAGTTGTCAGAAGGCAGGCAGTACGCTGATTTCTTACCTGGTTCTCAGGTGGTCTTGATGCTTGTCTGAAGGTTCAAGGCTGGACCACAAAGATTAAAGGTCAGTCGTCACACCAGCAGAGAAAGATTCCAGTGCAAACAACAAATCACAGCAACAGAAATGACTACTCTACTTGCTGTCAGGTACGTGTGTTGCTGCTTCCTACCTTCTTTATTCTCCTGTTTTTTCAGATTACAAAGAAGATTAAATAAAAATTTGAATTTCCACTTTTTCTTTTTTGCTTTCAGACTTCTACTTGGTTCTGTTAGCGTCTCTCTGCAGGTCAACGATGTTTGGAAAGTATATTTTTCTTGTCGTACATACTTATATACCCTGGACTGCCGTGTTTTTAACCCCAGCCCCCAAACCCACCCACCCACACATATACGCAAGCATACACATCCTTCACCAGATCAAACTATCTTTGAGTTTAGCGTGCAGGAGGACAGCCCCGGGGGAAGTGTGTTAGCTTGTTAGTGTCCTGTTTCAATGACTCTTAGTCACGGTGCTGGTCAGAGCCCACCATCTTATTACTTAAAATCTATATAGTGCGTGTTTGTATTTATGCAAGGGTGTTAATTCATACTCTCTGGCAGGTTGTACACTGGTTGGACGAAGTCTATGGCTTTCCTGTTTATTATGGAATATTCTAGAAAACACACGTTTGAAATAGATAGCACATTTATTTTACTTTTTAATTACTTGTGTCAAAGTTAGTGGAGCAGGGTGGACCCGAATGCAGGAACAATGGAACAATTACTTACACAACAAACAAGAATCCAACCAAGACTGAACAAAAACTAGGGTTGCGAATTGTTGAAAGGGCTAATTGTCACTTTTGCTTCGGAAAATTCTTAACGGCGTGAAATAAAGGAAGTGACAGTCATGATAAGAGCTGTTAGGCTTCTCTAGGTGATAGGAAAGAAGCTTCAGTTTTCTTCTTTAGCTCACTATACACTGGACCATCCTTTGGACTGTTCACGGAAACAAACGATCGTGACAGGGAAACGCTGATCTTGTAAGTTACGGTGCTTATTAAGCATTTTACAAATAATGCCGTAACTTGCAAAAGTACTTTTATGTTTTCAAACTTTCACCACTATCTTAAACCAAAAGGGAAATATGAGTGGGAAACCTACTTATGTGTTCATTGCATTGCATATGAGTCCATCAGGTCCATGAACTCCCCCTCAGCCTACCAAATCATAAACCTGAGAAAAACATCTGAAACCAATGTCATCCTTGATATTCAGTGCTGCATTTTGTTGGACAAATGTGTTTTAGAAAATGTTGGAAAACACCTTGTTAGTATGCATGTCAGTATTTAAATACCTTCCATCTCCACCAGCTTTGCAGGAAATGTATATATATATATATATATATATATATATATATATATATATATATATATATATATATATATATATATATATATGATATGATATGATGTATAAAAGGATGTTTCTATTCACACAAACCTATATTTGAAACTTTGTACCTGGGTCATGAAACACTTTCTGTGTGGATGGACTAAAATGGAAACTAGATAAAAGCTGAGAGGGTGGAGATTTCCGAGAGTTTGTCGGCATGCAGGAAGCTTATTACCATTTAAGGACCTCGTTATGGGCCTGGTTGGAAATAACGACCTGCAGACAGGAAGCAGCTGGCCTTAACAATGGCTCTGCAACACACGTCTTTTATAGATAACTAGCGGAAGTCACAAAGTAGTATCACCTCACAACACCTATGTTCTCATCAAAGACAATGTCATCTCCCATTGGTACCATTGTCACTGACTTGCTTAACAGAATCAAAATACTTTATTTATCCCAAGGGGAAATAAGGTTTTGTGACAGTTGGACCATTTTAGAATAAAATACATAAATATTTATAAATACAGAAGTGCGTCTTATGCACAGGAACGAGGCAGGACGTATTCCACAGCACAGAGACCTCTCAAGACTCAAGGCTCATGGTGAAGACTCTTGGTGCAATCCCTCTTGGCCCGAAGAGTCCAGAGGCCTTCGATGGAACGCTGCCATGTATATCCTCATGCATTGCATACACTCAAAAAATTCCTTCTGACTCCTAGCAAATGCGACTACTTTTTATTAACCTGTAATCTTAAGTTGCCCATGATGAGACGACTTTCTCCATAAGTCTGGACTCAGCTATCCTCCCTCGTTTCTTCGGTTTACCCTGCATCCTCGTTGTGTTCATCTCAAGTTTTCAGCCATCAGTTGTAAATCACCTCTAACCAATCATAACAAATCTGTGGAAACATTGGTTTTTGAATTTGTGATATTGCAGTGTCTGGACACCCATTAATACTGTCCATTTCAAACAGGGAGAATATTTTGAGTAAAACTTGGTTAGTGTTTTCGGATGCTTTGTATGTCATTTGATCTGGAATCTGGGACTCATATGTTTCAAGGTATTTTTCTGGCTGCATTCCACATCCTTCTTCAACACATAGAGATGTTGTGGGGTTAAACACATTGTTCTGATTACACATGCAATTGTTCGCGAAAGGCATGATAACGTCCAAGAGCTGCTGCCCAGAACTGCTGATCGGTGCAGTTATTGTTCAACACGACTTACTCTCATTGTGAAATGGTTTTATTTTAAGATAAGTCCAGTATTACTTTGACTATGCTTTTTGACTAAATAGCAGAACGCTGTTCATGCTAAATATATTTAATTGAATTGAATATTCCCCAAAGAACCCATTTGGGAACCCTGGATTTTATGGTTTGATATGTTGTTGTTTGTTTTCTGAAACAGAGCTTGAGAAAGCAGTTCAGATCTTACGTTTTCTCACTTCTGTCTCCTTTTACTCCAATTACTGCATGAAGCGGACGATTGTCGAATTGGGGGGGGGGCTAATCTGACAATGACGTATGATGGGTAGGTTCATAAGCTGTAATAGAGATGGATTCTGTCCCTCGTGACTAAGTGTTATATAGTGTCAATAAATAGCCTCTGTTCTGTTTATTACCTCCCTTAAATCCCTTTACTTGATAATGTCAATAAAGCCAATGAATGTGGTTTCCTTGACATCCATTTTGTCATGACATCCACTGTTGATATCAGATGAGATAATTGAACAAGCATTATCTGACCTCCGTAAGTATAAGATTTGTATTTGTATTGCCATCTTACTGTGGTGCAGAGAGAAAGAAGAAAATTGTCATCCTTCCTTTTTCCTTACTTACTTACTTTTTCCTTTTTCTTTGTACCCTTGAAGCAGTCTGATGGAGTGGTGCAGCGATGACGCATTTTTGTAGACCGACCTGAAGGAAAGTTAGCAAATGCAAAGAAGCAATAAAAAGCTACTGTAATGTAATAAACAAATGTTATGATATGGCTGTATTATTTTATCTTATGTCTGGTAGTTGTATAGGGGTGTGGTCTAGGTTGATTCATTAGCTGTTATTAGTGGCACCTGCGTGACAGACATGTTACGGCTGTATGTGTTCCTGTGCCTTTTACCCTTCTACGCAGTTGCTCTTCCCAGGTGTGCTGCATTGCTGTGACGAGGTGCACAACAAAGTGCACCTGGAAAAGGAAGTGTTTAAAAGACCAGTGCCAGCAGCAGATGGCGGGGCCTCTTGGGTGGGGACTGCTGGTGTTTCTGCCTCTTAATTTAGGATTCATCTTAAAAGATGTCTTTCAGTGATGTATTTAGGTCAATGGTGGAAGCAAGGATCTCCTACCAAGTTGCTTGAATCCGGGAGAGTCAACCACACTTTTCCCCTTGGACAGGAAAATGTGCATCTCATTCCAAAAGGCACTAGGTAACGGTCATACTGGCCATTTAGGATCTCATACTAGCCTAACTAAATTACAATGACATTACTTCACGTCAACACTGTTAGGTTAAACGCGAATAATTGTCTACGTGATGACGTTCAGTAGTCTCATACTGTCACTTTTTTTCATGGCACATAGAAGCTTCAGACATTTACCAGTGGGGTATTTACTAACATATATTATGTCCTACGACAAATCGTGAAAATATCTTAAGCTTGTGTTAAAACAGATCCTATTTCAGGCGTTTTACAAAAATGTATGTACGCGCCTTGTGGGCAAATTGTATTGCCGTGAATGGGGATTGGTTTCTTCTTGCTTTGATTTAAAAAAATAAAAAACCATTAGCGATATTAGAGGTTGTAGGTTAAAGGGCTGTTGGGGGTTCTGACAGCTAACATTGGATGATCTTGTAGGACTTCAGCATGAGCTCAATCTTTTTTTGGGGGGAATACCCCAGATGGAGGTTGTTCAGTTTGATGATAATCTTTCGTCAACACCGCTAACCTAAAGTCGGCTAATGTTCGACGTGATAAGGTTTAGTAGTCTCATTAGCAACCGCCCCCAACACATAGAGGCTTCCGGCGTTCACTAGTCGGCTATTTACTGACGTATTTTATGTTTTAGAACAAAACTTGAAAACATCTGAAACTTGTGTTAACCACAGACATTATTTTAGGCATCTAACCAAAAACACATTCTTGTACATTTACCATGGGACGAAGGAACCGGAAATGGTAAAATGCTAACTCGTTGCCAGGTTTTAGGACTAAATCCTGCCCCACCAATTTATAACCTTGGTCTTGTCTCTATTGTGTGAATTGGCACTCTTTAAAAAGGGTTTATACACAATAAGTAATGGCATTATAACCGTTTATATACTGTGGAAACGTTGTGAAGTACCGCAACTTAAAGGTGGGGTAGGTAAGTTTGAGAAACCGGCTCGAGATACACTTTTTGTTATATTCCATGGAATGCTCTTAACATCCCGATAGCAATGAATATCTTAAGTGCTTTGGCAAAAAATCCATAAAAAAATGTAATCTGTGGAAGCCGTAGATAATTAATTGGATGGCCTACCTGCCTGTCAGCCTTCCATCTGTGCACAAACTTATCTCGTGCCCACATTGGTCATGTGCGCGCTCGTGTGTGTTGGAGGAGGGGCTCTGTAAGGAAGTGGCAGATTTTTTCCGGCTGTGTATTTTCAAATTCTAGCGCAGTCGAGCTGGTTTCTCCAAAATTACCTACCCTACCTTTAAGTTTAAAAATGTACTGTAAACCTGAAACAGCATTGGAAAATTGAAAAAGCAAGTTTATTTACAATACAATCAGTATAAGTTTGTATAAAAAATGTAATATAATTAAAAGAACATGTGCTTACTGGACTTTTTGAATGAAAATGGAAGATTTGTGCCTATGGCTGCTGCTAATATATACCTGTGCTTGTAATTCTGCAAAGTCCTTGTACCCTCTTAAGTGTTTTGACTGCTTTTTGTCTCAGAATA